TGAAAAGAATTTTAGCACCAGTCTGTACTATATTTTTCAACAAACAAGCAGGAATACACCTGTCGGCTTGGTCCACCAACAAAACCAGTTTTACTTGCCGATCAAGAAAATAACCATGTCCTGAAAGAATAGAAACAATGCCTTCTGTAATGTAATCTGTAGGTTACTCTAAATACAGTTTTAATCCCAGACAAAACAATGATGTGCTGGCATGCAAGACATTGTCCTTCCAATTGGAGCCCAGGATAGCTAAGGCAAATTAAAGTCCTCTCCACTCTTACCTCCTGCCTTTAAACATGATCTTATGAAAGCTCTACCGCACGATTGAAGACTGCTGAAGGAGCAAGGTGCTAGATTCCAGTTGCTTCACGATTCTCAGCAGTTTGGGCCTGTCCCAGTTTAACCTAAGACAATGTCTTAAGAATGTAAATGAACAAGAACAACCACTGATAAAGACCTCTCAGCAAGGATGAAGGAAAAGAAAGAGGAGAAAGTCAACAGCCTAATGTTATTTTTTCATGATCAACACAGGACAATTCTAGCTGTTACATAGAGTTTAAAATAACCTTACTTTTCCAGAAAGAAAGCAACAGGGATGATATTTAGTGTTACACACTGCAGAAATATTTTATGGGGAGACTGAAGATCTTCTGCAGACTCAAACCTAATATATTTGTTTACTAAATGTCTTATTAAAGCTTCTCTTAAATTTCGCCTCACCTTTATAATTGGTTTGAAGAAATCAATAATATAATAAACACCCACCACCCCACAAAAAACATGTTAACCACCATGAAAATGTAAGATACATGTGCTTCCTTCCTTGGTGTTGATGTAGTTTGAGAGCTTCACAGAATATCCCTTTCTAATTGCTTCCCCACAAGACTTGTGAACAGCCTGGCGTTGCTATAGTCACACACTTTGTGGATCAGGTGTTAATGATTTCCACAAAATTTAACTAGCATTTGACAAGAGGACATTCTTGCTACTGTCAGGATACTTTTTCTATTAAATGAATGCAGTGTAAAAAGGAGCAAAAAACAACTGCAGTGCTCATTGTAATTTGTTTCTTTTTATTAAGGCTGAGATTGATTTTTATCTGCAGAAAGATTTTAAACCCACAGTATCCATTTTCCATTTATTTCACAGTTTGATTAAACCTGTCAACAACTTCTCAGGATTTTTAACACTTGTGTAACCCCAAACCTGTAGCACTCCTTGTTTGAGACCTGTGTACAACATACCTATTAGACCAGGAATCAATCCAGTTAATCGCAGTGAGGATGGTGCAGGTTCAGCAATAAGCAGCCAATACACTCTCAGTTCAGATTTTCCCTGGTCCTTGCTCCCTTTTCTTCAACCATGAACGTTTCAGCTTCTGTTCACAGCTCAATCCCCCAGATAGTACTTCTTAGAAACATACTGTAGGTCACGATGAACCAACAGAGATTAACCCTCCACTGCCTGCTAAAGGTGATGAAGCACTAATGCAGGAACAATCACACAAGACCAAACATCTCATCTTCTCGCCTGTAAAGAAACAGACAGACAGCCAGGTCCTTGTTCTAGGCTTTTGGAGTAAATCTGAGAACTTGCTAGGAATTTTAAATCTGTGGTAGATCAAAGCCATTGTCTAGCAACTACCATCAACCTATCTTTCATGGAAAGACACTTCTTAGGTCTCTGTGAACCTCGAGGTTTAAGTGTTTATTGTTGTGATGAAGAGGGCATCACAGTGGCATGTATTTAGCATTGCTGGCTTGCAGTGTTGGGGCCCTGGGTTGAGTTCTGGAGCTGGAGTGCTATTTGTGTGGAGTTTTTTATGTTCTGCCTGTGTTCGGACAGGTTTCCTCTGGGTGCCCCATTTTCCGTCCACAGTACAAATACATATAGTATTAGTAGTAATTGGCTTCTGCAAAAAATGGCTGTGGTGTGACAGCATTGTGAGTGCAAGCATGTCTGTACTGTAGATGTGTGTCTGCCCTGTGATGGATTGGCATCCCGTCCAGGGTGTACCTCCATCTTGTACCTGTTGTCCAGTTCCCTCATAACCCCCAATTCAGGATGAAGCAGTTAGAAAATGGATGGGTGGAAGTTGGAATGATAGCCAGAAAGGCCACAAAATAATTAGCATACTTTTATAGCTTCAGAGTGCACCAATGGGTTTCCACTGCACACTGTTCCAATAGCAGTAATTCTTCTTGATTCTTTTTTATTTATAAAAGGTCTCAGCTCCAATCCTTAGCCCATCTATATTTCATTCCTGATACAATTTCTGTG